AACCGACGACACGGACGAGGCGAACACCAACAACAGCAGCAGCAGCGGAACCAACGGTTTAACACCCGACACCACAGGCGACGGCTGGGAACCAGGACGAAACCCTAATCTTCACTTCACTTTATCTTCTCTTCAGGGCGGAGGAGCTATATATATATTTATATAGAGCAAGGGTGAGTACTTTCGTACTCAGCAAGTCACGGGAACTTGGGTGTTTAATGCAAGCTTGGAAGAGAGGCAAGGTTGTTTTGCAAATCTTTTATTTGAAGACATTTTGAAATCACTAAGTGATTTATTTCTTTCTAAGTTTGGGCCGAAGAGAGACTTGCGTCTCGATTCGACTTTAAGAGATGCTTTTCAACAACTCAATTGGTAATGTACCGACCTCCCGGGTCAGATCATTACTTCTCGGCTCCCAGAGCCATTCCACTTGATTAATCGGCTCCCAGAGCCTTTTTCATTTTCTCGGACTCCCAGAGTCCAGCTGCCCAGCAGCACAACAATCCGCTTCCACTCGGGAAGCCTAGTCTATGATGCCCACAGACATCCCGAATCACACAGATTCGTTTCTGACCACTCAGGTCATCCATCTGCCACATAGGCTGATTCTGGTTACGATTCCCACACCACAACAACTTTTCACAAAGCACAGGCAAACAAATCTACGGAACGGGAACCACCTCACATCCGCCCATGACCGTGGGCACGGCTGTTCGAACAGTTAGTTAACCTCTGCAGAGGGGTACACTTTACCCACAAGACACGAACTTACTCCAGACACTGGCCGGTGTCAGAGGTTCGCGACAAAGCCTTTCCCAAGCCGACCCAGGGATACCTCATGCCACATAGAAGGATCAAATCCTCACGTAAACATAGGCCATTTTAGGCGTTCACAAATCAAACTCCAACCACCTCGACCGGTAATTCAGCAAGCTTCTCGTTCTTGCATTACCAGGAACCCGGTTTGGCTCCAACCGACCCCGCCCCGGCGTTCCCAACTATTGGCATGCGAGGTTTCCCTGAACCGACTAGCTACTTAGCCAGGGTGTCCCATTCCACCTTGTGGTTGCACTTTGATTATGTTCGATGAGTTTCCCACAGGAATCGGTCCTTATATGCGAATACGGGACAGTGCCACATAGGCACAACCCCCGCATCGCGAGTTTTCACAATTCATTTTATTTTCAAACACACCGACACCACATGTCGGGTTTTGAAGGCTTCACAAACCCATTTCCCAAGTTTTCGACAAACAACGGTGTATGTGGGGTATTTGGTATACGCGCTCAGAGAGCACGAATACCGAGGTACCACAAGGGTGGAGCGACAAGGAATCAGGGTAGTACGACCTACGGAAATTAGTGCGACTACTGGGTAGGTCCGTCGGTTTGGCACGCAAACCGAGGCCAAGCAAGTTAAGTGTGTGAGTCTAATAATGCAAGTTGTAAACAAAATAATAATGACTTTTCAATTATAGGGGCAATTGATCAAAGGGTGACTTGCCTTGCTCAAAGTCTTCACGAAGCTTCACGAATCTTCGAGAAAACCCGCGATCGACGAAAATCCGATAACCGCAACTATACGCAAACAATCGAAAACCTAAACAAGGACCAAAAGAAAGATCCTATTTAGACTAATTAGTAGTGCCATTAAATAGATCTCAATTTTACGGAATTACTGGAAGTTGAACGGAGTCAATCGGAGTTGCGAATTGGGTGATATGAATTTTGGAAGTTTAATTTGGATTTTCTGGTCAAGGAAATGATTTATCGGAATTTTCTGGAATACGAGAAATGGTTTATGGAATTTTGGAACAAGGAATTGATTTATGGGACAAAGGAAAAAGGATTTATTAAATCCCTGAAAAAGAAAAGGATGGAGGGATATATATTAGACTTTTTCGAGCGGCAAGGGCGCGGCCCAAGGGTCGAAGGAGGCTCGGCCAAGCCATTTGGGCCGGCGCGGGCGCGGGAAAGGCGGCCCATTAGGGCGCGCGGAAGGGGGAGGGAGCGGTCCGGTGGACCGGGTGCACCTCGCGGGGTCCCGGGTGGGGCCCACATGTTGGCGGCAAGGTTCATGGTGGGGAGAGCGCACGCGGGTGCGGTGCTAGGGTTTGGTGGGTGCGGTGTGCGGGCGGTGCGCCGGGTGGATCGGATGGCAGCGGGCCCACATGCAGCCGGTTGGCGCACCGTGGACCGTGCGCGCGAAGGTGGGGAAGGGAGGAGGCGGCTGACCCAGTCGCAGCCGACGTGGCTCCGACGTGGCTGCCACGCGAGCCAACGGGAGGAGGAAGAAGGGGAGGCCGGGAATGAACGGCGGACGGCGGCCGAGTTCACCGGAGCAAGGCACGACCTCAGTGGAAAAAGGGAGCACACCGGGAAGGAGGGAAGGGACGAGAGGAAGAGAGCCGACGGCTTGGATTCGCCGGAAAGAGGCCGGAGGCGGCGGATTGCGGCGACGCACGCTGGCGGCGAGAAAAAGGGGAAACGGCGGAGGGGCGACAAGGATTAAATTCAAGGTGGTGGGAGTATCTCTGGGAGTCGGGGATTCCGTTTCCGGCGCCGGATAGGGTGGAGGAGCATCGAGGAGGGCTAGCGTCGACGGCGGCCTACGGGAGCGGACGGTAATGGTGGCGAAGCCATGCCAGGTGACGGCATTGCTAGGGAACGGTTTGGGGAGGCCCTAGGGAGCTCAAGGACGGTGTTGGTGAGGGTGGTCGATGAGCTGGGGCCCGACGACGGCGCGCGACTGCGCGCGGCGGCTGAAACAGAGCAACGGCGAGGCACGCGGCGCATTGTGCGGCAGGAGGAGGAATACGGTGGGGAGCTCACCGGGGAGGGAGGAGCGGCGTTGGCGACGCAGAGGGAGTCGTGACGAGGCGGTCGCGACGGCGGGGAGGCGCGGCACCGAGAGGGCGCGGCCGGGCAAAGGAGGGAGGCAACGAGGCCGAAAGGATGATGTGTGCATGCACACGCTCTTGGCCACGGCAGTGCGGCACCGAGCTTGACGAGGCCGACGCCGAGGCTCACGCGGCCATTGACACAGCGCGGCAGCGAGGAGGCAGTCGCGGGGGCGAGCAGCTGGCGGCTGGCAACAATGGCGCGGGTGGTTCGAGCGAGGTGAAGACGAAACGAGAGGGGAGGGCGCGGGCTTTATAGGCGAGGAGGAGAGGTCGGTTTGGAGGAGGGAAACCGACATTGGTGGTCAAGCTTGCTCGGCTGGCGCGGCGCTTGCGGTCAAGGAGCGGCAGGTGGTGACAGCGGTTGTGGTCGGGGAAAAAGGCGAAAAGGGGAGGGAAAAGAGCTTGGCTCCCTTGCCACTTTGGGAGGAAGGAGGAAGGAGGGAGAGAGAACGAGGGAGAGGAGCACGAGCTCTGTCTCTTGGTTTTGGAAGGATGCGGCATGGGGGCATCGGGGCCGAGCGATGACAGCGGCGATGACGGCTAAAGGCGAGCGGGGCCGGGCGGCTGCGCGGCGCAGGCGCGGGGACAGGCGGCGTCAGGGCTGACGCGGCGGCAACCGGGCGGTCAGCCACGCGCGAGCGCGCAGGAACGAGCGAAGGCGGTGCGGATTTGAGCGGCGTCGGCGGGAATCGGCGCCGGGGAGAGAGAGAGTGAACGGAGAGGGGGAGAAAAGGCAGAGAGGCGGGAGCTCTCTTCCTCCCTCAGCTCTGCTGAGTGACCACGTGCAGCGCACGTGAGAGAGAAGGGCAGAGGGGAGAGATGGGCCTAGGGAGGGGATTCGGCCCACGAACCCGAGGGATGCAAATTAGACTTTTGCTTAGAATTTGAGTTGGAGAGAATTTGGATTGGGAATGGAATTTGGATATCTTTCGAGTCGGTACAAGTATTTGGCGAGAATTCAAAGAGAGGAATTGAATTTCGGGATTTGATCTCGGTGACTTGAATCGGGATTGGAAATTTGAGGTGGAGGATTTCGATTTCGATGAGAGGGAACAACGGGATTTGAATTGAGATATTGGCACAACTTAGACTCGCACACAAAGAACGAAAATTTTCGCAATTAGGATTTTGCCGAATTAGTTTTTAACGCCTCACGAAAAGCGGAGCGTTACAGACTATATGTAACGGAATTGCTAACTTTGGACATAAAATCCGTAAAATAAAATTTGGAGGAAGGCACACTATATTATTCTCTTTACCGAAATTCTGTAACAAGAGTGCTTGACACAGGGTCAGTAAACATGTCCTTTTATACTATTCCCTCCGTTTCAGGTTAACATTTTGACTTTGATAAATTTGATCAAGTTTATAGAAAAAGTAGTAACATTTTCAACCCAAGAAAAAATATTATGAAAATATATTCAATTATTGATTTGATGAAACTAATTTAATATTATAAATATTATTATATTTGTCTATAAATTTTATTAAATTTGAAACAGTTTGACTTTGACCAGTCAAAGTCTTATAAACTGAAATGGATAGAGTACTACTCTAATCGGTGTCTAAGCAAAAGAGTGGCACCTACGGGCACGGCCATGGCTGTGCAATATTGTGATGTCCAAGATCGTTTGATTAACCAGGAATATTCGTCTTAATTTAGCTACTCTTCATATCTGCCTTAATGATGAGTCAACTCTAAAAATTAGTTTCCATCCAATTAACCACTACACGCCGTTGGTCGAGCGCGATTGATGTTGCTGGCCAGGTGCAGTATCACCTGTAAGTTTCAAGGAACAGATGACATCGTTTCTTAGACAAGGGAGTACCCCGAACATTGAATACTTTCTGCAAATTAATAATTGAGCCGTCCATTTCACCATTAGAAGTAAAGCAAACCAAGAGAGGTATCTTCTGAAATTAAATCAATTTTATGCCAAGCAGATCAGTAGTTTGGACAATACGTGTCTTTTTTCTAAGATAATGGACAATACGTGTCTGCGTGTTCGTAACTTCATTTACAAATCTTCCGATTAACCCATAAGCCATGCTGCGGCTGCACGGGCACATGCACGCATGGCGATCCTTGTAGAATTAATCCGAACAGGCTATATATATCTAGACCAATCATCCCACGAATCATCTCACAATCATCAGAACCAAATTCACAGCTAAATCGCACGCACACCACAGTCTACAGCATCTCTGCTTTGCAGCTGCAGCTTAATTTCAGAGCTAGCGAGCTACAACTTTCAGCAAACGCCTACTGACCACGACGACAGAAATGGCTCCAGCTCGACCTTTCGCGTTGCTGTTTCTCGCAGTCACGGTCGGCTTCGTTCTGCTGACGGCGGCCGACGACTCGGCCAATGCGACGGCGACGACGACGACAGCGATGGCTCCGTCGTCATCGACCGACGACGCGGCTCCGCCCGTGTGGCTGAAGGCGCACGCGACGTTCTACGGCGGCGCGGACGCGTCGGGCACCATGGGAGGCGCGTGCGGCTACGGCGACCTTTACTCGCAGGGGTATGGGACGCGGAACGCGGCGCTGAGCACGGCGCTGTTCAACGACGGCGCGTCGTGCGGGCAGTGCTACAAGATCGCCTGCGACCGCAAGAGGGCACCGCAGTGGTGCAGGCCCGGCGTCACGGTCACCATCACCGCCACCAACTTCTGCCCGCCCAACTGGGACCTCCCCAGCGACAACGGCGGCTGGTGCAACCCTCCACGGCCGCACTTCGATATGGCGCAGCCGGCCTGGGAGAAGATCGGTATTTACCGTGCCGGCATCATCCCCGTCATCTACCAAAGGTACATAATTAACCTACACCGGACAAACACAAATCGTATTTGTTTTTGATATTGCACACCTATATGACAATATATAAGACATATTTGTAACATGTATTTTGTGATGTTTTTCAGGGTTCCATGTGTAAAGAAGGGTGGTGTGCGGTTCACCATCAACGGGCATGACTACTTCAATCTCGTTCTTGTGACCAACGTTGCAACCACCGGCTTGATCAAGTCGATGGATGTGATGGGCTCCAACTCAACCGACTGGCTGCCAATGGTGAGAAACTGGGGTGCAAATTGGCACTCGTTATCGTATCTCACTGGACAGATGCTTTCCTTTAGGGTGACCAACATGGACGGCCAGACGCTTGTCTTCAGAAACATTGTGCCGTCAGGATGGAAGTTCGGGCAAACATTTGCAAGCAAACTGCAGTTCAAGTGATCATCCTGAATTGATTGGGTTTCTACTGCCTGACTGATTATTTATGATGGACATTTGCACAGTGTATATATACACGTTGTAAGGACTATTGAATTGTGCTTCTGTGCACTATTGCACATATGATTTTTTTTATTTTTTATTTTTTATTGTTTATACCTGATTTATTGGTGTATATATTTATGTCTTTATCCCATATGTATGGGTGGGTACTTGTATATACAAAGATGTTTATGCTCTTCATTGAATCAAAACATATTCAGATTAATTTTTATTACACTTGTATCAACTTCAACTAAAGTTATATAAAATTGTAAATATCTTATAAGAGAGGGAGTCATCCTCCTATCCCTCTCTCCCCCACTTTCACGTAAAAAATTCTTCCTTTCCGTAAAAACTGTTCATCCTGAAAATAGATTTCTCATAAAACCGACCATGGTGTAGAAAACCGAACAGGTCACCTCTCTGAATAATTTCACTAAACTAAATAAGAAAAACAGTTGCAACGCGGGCCTATAATCAGTAGAGGGAAACGTCGGATTTACTAGGCCACCAAGCCTTAGCACAACTAAAAGATGGGGTGGAATGGCAGATGAGCTCTCCTAGCATAACACAGCAGCTAAAACGATTGCTAGCACAACTATGCATTGTAACAAGTGAGGCGCCTGCTGTGTGTCCACGTTCAACAGATTTGTCACAAGAATTGTTCACACAAGGAAGCATACCAGCCATGTGACTCTGAGGCAAAGATGATGTTGGAAATATGGTCGCAATTTGGCATATTTTAATCCAAATCATTAAGACAATAAGCATGACATTTTTAGGGAATAAACTAGTGTGAATACTAATCAAGAGCAACATACAAATCATGCTTAATATAGAATAAGCATAAACATTCATCACATGGCATTGTTATAAAAACATTACGCTTAATAGTAGTATATCAGAAATTAGCGTGTTGGGAATAGAGACATACTCTAAAAATGGTCCTTCGCTGGAGTGTGAGGCATAGTTGCCTCCGTTGATGGAGCCGTTCCCTGCACCGCCTCCTCCATTGCTGACATCTCCTCCAGCTGCACCGTTGGCGTTGTCGTCTGTCGACATGTTGGCGTTGATGAATAGGAACCAGGAACTCAGACCCAGGAACTCAGACGGAAGAACGCTCCGCAAAAACTTTATTGCCCGCCTACCCGTGCAGGAACTCAGACGGACAGAGTTTCGGAGGCTCTACTCGTCCCAATCTCTTTTGCACGTAAGAGATCAAAGCTAGGGACGACGGAAGCCACGGCCTCGGCCCAGCCAACGCGTGCGCGCGCACGTGGTAGTCCGCCCACCTTCTCAACCGGTCAATAGAGAGTCATAATTGTCTCTCTATTTAAGATGAGATCTCTCCACTAAAATTTTTAAGATGGTATTATTATCACTAACATTAATTATAGGCCTAGGGAATTTAATTGAATTAAATCGGACCTGTCCCTTTTATTCAACAGATGAATCGCGTGGTTTCAAGGAGTATTCATGTTTGGCAACATCATGTGCATGATTTGGATGAGCGGTCAAGATGACCCATGTATACACCCATTTCGTTTGATCTCTGTATTTTCAGACGGAATTGCTGGTGGGGACGATTTCTGACGCATTCATAGTGAGCAATTACACCTTAATCTTGTTTTTCATTAATAGAAATGGCACATGAACCCTTGTAAAATAATAATTATGTGACTTATTTTATCCACATCAAATGTTCAATGGTACAAAGCATTGTAATTAGAGTAGTACTATACATCCGACTGAGCCATACGACTCTCATACGACTGCACCAAACCAACCAATCACATGAGTTCATAAATATTCACGTGGGCCCAATCAAAACAAGTTAAAATCTGTTATGTGCAGTCGTATGCAGGTCATACAGACACAGTCGTACGTACAGTCATTCCGTTGTAATTAATCTCGTTCTATATTCTATACTCTTGCAAAATTTCGGGTCTATCAGCCCACCCCCCATTCCCAAGTACGAAATTATTTAACCCGAACTTTTTTTTATTTTTCATTTTTTATGAATTTAGCCATTGTGTTAAAATATTCAAATAATTTAGGATCAAAATTACCGAAATTTTAGTCGGTACCCCCATACAACTAGCAAAAAAGGGATTTAGAAAACATTGAAGGCTGAATACACAAAATATATTGGACAAAGCAATACCAAATTGTTACGAGTTTTCTAATCAGAGTGGCGCAGCGGAAGCGTGGTGGGCCCATAACCCACAGGTCCCAGGATCGAAACCTGGCTCTGATAATTTTTTCCATAATTTTTGGCGCTACGCAATTTCATTTAATCCTTTTTTTTGGCTCAATTTCATTTAATTCATTTTTTGGCGCAGTTTCATTTAATTCATTTTTGGCGCTACGACGATTTCTTTTAAATTGATTTTTTGGCGCGATTTCCTTTAATTCATTTTTTGGCGCTACGACGATTTTGTTTAATTCATTTTTGGCGCTACAACGATTTCTTTTAAATTCGGTTGAATTTTTGGGTCGATTGTTTTGTCAAGATTTCCATTAATTCAATTTTTGGCGCTACGACTTTTTTGGTCGATTGTTTTGTCACGATTTACTTTAATTCATTTTTTGGCGTTACGACAATATCTTTTAAATTGGGTCGAATTTTCGGGTCGATTGTTTTGTCACGATTTCTTCAATTCATTTTTTGGCGCGATTTCCTTTAGTTCATTATTGGCTCTACGATGATTTCTTTTAAATTGGGTCGATTCTTTTGTCATGATTTCCTTTAGTTTATTTTTGGAGCGATTTCCTTTAATTCATTTTTGGTGCTACGACGATTTCTTTTGAATTGTCTTTTTTGGCGCTACGACGATTTCCTTTAAACTAGAAAGGTAGCACACACACATGCGTGGGCATCTTATTTAATGTGTTTAAAATTTTATTACCAACGTTTATTTGTGGGTGATTATTATTGAAATACTTTTTGACTATATTCTAATTTGCTAGGGATTACTTTGAATGTCACTCCCTCCGTTTCACAATGGAAGTTATTCTAGTATTTCCCACATTTATATTGATGTTAATGAATCTAGACATATATATTTATCTAGATTCATTAACATCCATATGAATGTGGAAAATGCTAGAATGACTTACATTATGAAACAGAGAAAGTAGTTATGATTTTCTTGTAGTTACCCATGCAACATATAAATTCTAAACTAAAATTACATCAATCCGTATAGTTTTGAATTTATGAGAAAGTATATGGTGTCACAACAATTGAGTTGGTTTCTATAAATTATACTATATACATTTGCACTATGTATCTTTCTTTTGTTAATATTTAGCATATTTTTTACATTAAATAACATTTTTTCTTGTCTACCATAGATTCAATTTTTTCCCATAATATAAGTGAATCTAAAGTACAATTGTTCTATCCAACCACCGTTCATTTAATGTACGCCGTGACTGACCCCCTCCCGTCTTGCCCACGTTGGTCGCTCCTCACCGTGACAGAGAGATCGATGGGGAAGGAAGAAGATAAGCGAGAGTGAAAGAAAGATGATGAATCTGACAGGTGGGTCCCACGTGTAGATGAGGAGGAAGATAGAAAACGTAACGACGATGGCACTCTAATTTTGTAAAATTTGAGTGGACAGCTATGAATAGACAAATTGTAATGATATTTATCTGAATAGGCATTTTTCAATGGCACGAATCAAATTAACACTTACTTAATAAGCGGGTATCATAGTAATTTTCCTTCCTCGTTAGCAACAATGTTGAGCACCCTACGATATCTTGCTACTACAGGTGAAATAACTCAAATATTTTTTTTCAATTTGTTAACACACTTGGATGAATTTTAAATCTAATAATTTCTCCAATTGATTATATGCTTTAATGATTCAATAAATACATAGGTTATATTCCAATGAGATTAGCCGTGATTATCTTTGATTATATGTAGGGTGTATGTTATGGATTTTTTTCAATTTTTTTCATATTGTCATATACATGTTTTTTCAATTTAAAAAAGTTACGATGCTGCTTTATTTTATTTCATGAGATTGACCTATTCTGTTGTTTGTGTTTAATCTATATTGCAAGTTAACTTTCTTCTTTACCACTTGACAGCATAGATTTACCGAATCTCGAATAGTCAATTTAATAAACAATCATCTCATCAATATTCCTGACTCAATGATTAGTGAATAGCAGTTTAATTATAAGTAGAAATGATACATAGGTTTGAATGTGACATATATAATCTATCTATTTGACGGAGCTTGGGGCTCCTCACCGGGAGACCGCGCAGGCCTCCCTTTGCCGGTTCGGCCGGGGGCCCTGGGTGAGGTTCTAAGCTCCTAGCCTGTGGAAAGTTCGCGAGAGTGGAAACACACAAGACACGGGCGATGTATATAGGTTCGGGCCGCTGAGAAGCGTAATACCCTACTCCTGTGTTTTGGTGGATCTGTGTATGAAGAAGCTACAAAGTGCGAGCCAGCCCCCGATCGTTCTGGGATCGTTTTTTTCCTTCTAAGTGGGCAAGGTCCTCCTTTTATATCTCAAGGGGATACCACATGCACCATCTCTCCCTTTCTTTCTTTTGTGTGGGGACTCATCCTCTCTTCCCTCCAACTTCACTTCTCTTCATTAATGGACGGAGATTTGTATGGCTGCCGTCCGAATGACCTTCTCATGGGACGGCCCATACCTACCTCCACTTCCGCCGGAAGCAGGCGCGACGTGGGAACATGGCTGTCTGCTGACGACATGACCATTGTCAGACCGGTCACAAATCGGTCATTCTTGTCCACCACGTGTCAGTTTAACAATCTGCATGTTCGCCCTTCTTCATACAATATCTTGCCTGTAATGGTTAGGATGAAGCCTGGCATATATCTGACCGGAACCAACGTGCCATCTCCAGGAGCTAACACGCCGGCTCCGGCTAGGGACGAGTGCTTGGAGGCTCTCATCCTGACGGGATGGGGCGAGGCGTGCGTCAGACCGCCTGTCGCCACCTAACCCACGATCTGATCGGTCTGTGACTGCGTTACATGCGGCGTGACGCGCTCGTCCAAACCGCAATAAATGTGGTTAGGTGAGCCCCGCTATGCTCACCTACCCCATATACGCGGCGCAAAACCCACAAGGAATCGGGGCGCATCGGCCCTCGGGGCCGAGACAGGAGCGGTCCGACCCCTCGGGGAGACAAAGAGAAGGGCGGCCGTATCACCCTCGGGCCCAACCCCCCCC